ACATAGCATGTATTTAGGCGCCTGGTGTTAGCAGACGCGCCTAAACAGAAATATTCAATTGAAATACGCCAATACGCCAAAGCGGATTCTTAACCTTAAGATATCAACAAATACAACCCTGCTTTCAGATTTTGTCGACATTTTTATGCAACCTATCTTCGCTTCCTGCCCACCGTGTGCAGAAGGCACCATTTTGTTTTTCGCTACGTCGTGTGATACCAATACCAACAAGTGCTCTCTGCAGACGTTGTCGGTATGAAGAAGAGGAGGTATCTGTTCACCTTTTTTTTTGTTAGTGCGCATATTTTGATATAGGAAGTATAAGAAATTAAAAATAAATAACTTGGAAAAAGGATTAAGGTACTTGTTTCATTTTTTCCCATTTGTATTGAATGAATTGCAAATTTTCTAAGGTCAAAAGAAGCACTGAAAATCCGATAAGGCCAAAATAAATAAAAAATAAAACGAAATTATTTTATAAAGATCGAATCTTCTGATTCGCATGCAGTTCTGATTTGCCTTAAACACGTAAAATGTTGTATTCAAAGTTTTACGAAATACTTGACGAAATTTGCTATAAGATGTTGTTTTCTCTGCTGTAAAATTTAACGAAATGGACTTGGCAAGTTTTTACTATAAGCTAAGCGATATAAGAGCTACGGGCGTCTATTAGTATAGAATTTTCGATTTGTTTTTATAAAAATATATCTCATTTTACCGAGAAAATTGTCTAGTACACAGAGGGCCGGCTTTAGAAGCAATGACACCCGGTTACCTCGGTTTCTTTTTCTTATACGATAATCAATTGGAAAAATAGTCGAAATAAAATAATTCCAAATTCTTACTACAATTAATCAATGTTATGAGATATCAATTAAAAAAAAGTTTACTTAGCTTTGGCTTGAGCAAATTTTTCATTAGTTTTGGACAAGTCAATTTACATAGAAATCTCGTTTTCGATAGATAAGACAGCTAAAGCGTTTAATCTTTCTTGGGACATATGTTGAGCTGGGATTTCGAAAAACTTCGCTACCTGCTGACAAAGTCAACAAAATACTTAGAGAACCCCAATCATTAGGAAATACATCGAAGACATTTTTCTTGCCGAAATTCAAGAACCTCCAATGGTCTTTTCATCGCTGCAGGTTTAATACGCCGCAATTTTTTCAACTCTTCATAAAGCGCCAATCTATTTATGTCGCAATCTCTAGTTGTGAGAGCGGTGCTCAACTCTAATTGAATCTGCGAACACTTGTGATTGTGAGTACGAAGAAACCTGCAATAGATCTTTATGATTTTTCAACTACTCAAACTCTTCCGTGACAGCAGTCAGGGCAGTGTCAACTAGAACAACGAAAAATTAGTTCTAAATTGATCTTCTGTTGTGAAAATTGCGGACACAATTGAAACACAATGCCGACGAACAGCGAATTTTTGGCTGCGAATGTTCGCTGTAAAAATTAAAACACACTGTTGTATGTGAGAACGCACACAACCAAAGCAAACGACGACGTTCGTCCGACGACTGTTCGCAACGATAGCGGCAAAATACGATTCATTGTGGCCATATGCTAAATATTCTCACGTTTTTAAGTGGAAATTGAAAGATACTATATTAGTTCTTGTTAAAAATTAATAATCTTATTGGTTGTAAAAATTTTAATTGTACCTTGTCCATAAGCAGTTGAATTCGTTGTCGCCGTAGTTGTGTTTTACTGAGCGAAATTTTTGGGCGAAAGTTGCCTCCGTTCGTCGGTATTGTGTTTCAACGGTATTCTTGACTTTAGTGACGCAAAATCCCCTTCTTTTTTCTTTTGCGAGATGAGCATCTTATTTCCATAGGTGGACAAAACGGTGAGATTTTGGACATGATTTTTTAAAATGGTCCATCTCTTGGAAGATGTTCAGAATTCACCAAATTTAAGGAATTCCATTCCCATGGTGCTCTCGGATTTCGTTCGAGGACCCCGTCATGATCTCTTTTGTTTTTTTAAATAACTCATATTTACGTTGTTTTCGATGAAGAAAATTTACATTCGAAAATGTTATGCAATAAAAAGAATTAAACGCCATCCCAGAGTTTTTCGTCGCCCTCCATTTGGGGCCCAAGGCAACCGCCTCTCTCGTCATGCCCGAAAGCCGGCCCTCAATATATATTAAAATAGTAGTAGTAAGGTAGAATATTTTTTTTTTTTTCGAAATTGGCCAATTAATTTTTTATAACCATTTACAGCTCTGATACTTCGTGAAAAATATGTGTAACTGAGAACAAGGAACGGGAAAAGGAAAAGGAAAAAATATCTGGGACGATTGAAAAAAAAAAAGAAAAATGACAAATAATTATTTGTTAACAAGGCAGGCAAATATGCCAGATATACAATATAAGAAAATGTTTTTCGATTTTTGTGGATAGGAAGTAGGAGTACACTTACCGAATTTCAAAAGAAATGAGACAACAACAACGGACAATTCTTTAAAAATTAGACAGTCTTCTTACTTGTGGTTTTCTATTTGTTAAATAAATGAGTTGGCAGTTGCAAATGTGCCAAACCGTGGAATTTTAACTCTTTAAATTAAGGCATGTAATACATAATATTTCTTTGATTTAATCTTGAAAGCTTTGCGCCTTTTTAGATAATACGTTTGTTGTTGATTTTGTGTGAATAATCAAACTACAAATCAACCTTTGTGCGCTGGGTTGCAAATGAATAATGCGCTAAAAATACGTATGTCATGCTTTTGTTTTAGAGAAAAAACTACCTGAGTTTTATATGGCTTAGATTATTTATTTTTTTCTAGAGTGAATTGGCGCTTATAAGCTCGCGGCGCCACAAATTTAGTTGCTCTTTTTAGACATAGCTGCTCAGGTTTGCACTAAATAAAGAGGTCTAAGAAAGCAGCGCAATTTTCGCTCAAAACACACACAATCACAATTATTTATAAACTAGATACGATGCTTTTAATAACGGATAGTTTACCAGCTACTCGGTAATTACTTGAGACATACATAACAACTAACTAAGGGGGCGAAATAAAGCAACAAAATTATCAGTGGGTCTGTGCAGGATGAGGTATGCGAATTTCGGCAAAAATAAATTGCACAAAAACGTACGCGGAATGAAGCGCAATGCAATAAACTAAAGTATGGAATGCAGTAAAAACACTTTACTCACAAAATACCAAAAAAAAAGAGTGGAACTACATTTTTTTCATTGCAAGCTTTTGCGGCACAAAAATCAAAAATAAAACAATATTCAACTAAAATAAAAAAAAATAAAAAATATTTGCGCTTTAATTGAGTAGAGTTGCACTTTTTTGTTGCGCTCAAAGTCTCAAGTTGGCATTCACATTTTTCCATTTGCTTCATTTGCATTAGCGAAGCGAACATGTATGTATGTACGTATGTATTTGCTTTTGCTATGCAACGGGCTTGGCGGGGCGTATGCGCAAATAAAAGCATACGAACACTTTGCATACGGCAGCGGCTTTGTGATTGTGTTGGTTTTAGTTCTACATATTTATGCATATTTGAATTTGTATTTATTGCGGTCTTCATGCTTTTCTGCGGGCATTAAATGCGTGAATTTTAATCGCTTTGCTGTTCTAAAAACACTTTGTTTTTTTTTTTTTTTGTATTTTCGCAAGTAATCTCTTAATTATTTGGCTTGCGGCGTTCTGTTTGTTCTTTTAACTCGAACTTTCATGGCTTCGAGGTTCAACAGTTTAACTAATCTGAACTATGTTTTATGCTATAACACATGTACATAGATATAAAAGTTAAACTTGTGGAAGACTTTACTGAAATTCATTGTTGATACTTCGTTGACTGTGTGTGTGTGTTTGTGTGTGTGGGCGCACGCATAGGATATTCGATACACGTAGAGAAAAAAAAGAAAAAAAAAAAATGAAGACGATGAGAGAAAAGAAGAAGAAATAGATTTAGAATTTACGGTAGAGTTGGTTTTCGCTACAATATATGCCAATGATAAATATTAAATTTAAGGGAAATTTCGTAGTAGCTAATTTCGTTTTAGAAATAAAAATTTTCCTTAATAGTATACATAAATGCAAAAATTAATGAGGTATTCGACTAGGGATTTATGTTAAGCAGTTTTTATATAAGAAACTGGAATAAATTTATGTGAAAGTTTGTGTTAGGTGCACACACTCGGGCGCACACTGTGTTGTGGGATTTTACTTTAAAAAGGTGAAATATGGTAGAACGCTGACTACTTGGGGATTGATTGGTCGCACTACGGCAGGAAAAAATCAGCGACAGCATGGAAAAAACTTTGATTGTGTGTACGATGAGGGGAGGGGAGGGGTGAGTAGTTGTGTGGTAGGATTCTTAGGATGTTGGGTTTGTTCGATTTTTTTTTTTGGGTTGATTGGTTGATTGCTCGGATTGGTACTCAGTTTCTCAAAGGAGCAGTTATTTACATGTTTATTGTAGGTTTAGTAAAAATGTAAGTATGTACGTAGATTTTCAAGTAGGCTAGGCGAGCGCACTTGCTTGAGCAGGCATAGAAGTATCTGCATGTATGTAGTATGTATGATATTGAAAATAAGCGAATAGCAAACATATATGTACCTGGTGCAATGATGGGTTCACCGATATTTACGTAAAAGAGGACATCCTTCTCATAGCTGCCTTCCTCAATGATTCCCAACGGAATGAATTTTCTGCAAATTGTATAAAGAAGAATGAAGAAATTGAATGAGATAAAACGCAGTATTCGTTGTGTGTAATGGATATGGTTATAAGAAAAATTTCAAGCTGAAAAAATTAAAGTACGTAGCAGTTTTTTTCTGAACACTAAAGAGAAAGAACCTTATTTAAATTTTTTTTTTTCAAAAATACGCAAGCTACAGACCTAAAATATGTGTTTGTAACGGTGAATCATAAAATATGGTATTTTTTATGGTTCCCACCAAATTATTCCCAGCTAGCCAAATGGGGAGCGCTCCAAATATGGAGCGAAAAGAGGACTCCCACAGCAACAACTCTGTAAGCTGTAAGATGAAAATGAAATTTTGAATCAAAAAGGTCGTCGTCGCTTCCGAATGTCCCTAGAAAGACACATCGCATTTAGAGGTAAACAAAAACGCAGGCAATGGCAAACCTTCGAGTGCTTCTCATAAAAAGACAACCGCGGTTCAGAGTAGGCGTAAAACTGTAGGTCCCTCCCCTTTGTGTGACAACATCAAGGCGCACGCTACAAATCGGAGGAGAGGCTCGGCCAACAAGACCCAAGTACTAACATGAACCCTGTCAGCGAAGTGCGCGTGAACAAAAGGAGAAGAGGCCTAACGGGCAGAACCGTCAACAGTGAAAGGTTACGGTGGACTCTTTCAACGTTTAGTGCATACAAATCCCTCGGTTCAGATGGTATTTACCCACGCCTGCTGCAGCAGGGATTTTGGTCCATTACTGGTACCTTAGTGAGACTCTTGAGAGCGAGTCTACTTCTTCCTTACATACCTTCATCATGGAAAGAAATGCAGGTCATATTCATACCCAAAGCTGGGAAACCCAAGAATATCTCCCAAAGGCGTACAGACCCATAAGCTTCAGCTCTTTTCTAATCAAAACCTTGGATTGATTTTCATATGAGGGACACCTATCTCAAGGATAAACCACTTTGTGAAAGTCAACATGCATGTACAGGGAAATCTACCATTTCTGCAATACATGGCCTAACCCAAGACTCGACTGGAACTCATATCTCAAATCGGTTACCAATAAAGCCACGAGGGCATTACACGGCTGTATAGTCAAACTTGGGGATTCTCTCCGAAACTAAAGTATTGAGATAAAACCGAAAGTCACCTATGCGGTACTGGCCTGGTGGCCAAAAGCCAAGCAAGCAACCCAAAACGTCACTTTGGGTAAGCTCCACCCCACCTGGTTTGTGTGGTCATAACGGAGGTCATACGCACACGCCCGACACAGTGGCTTGGAGTAATCACGGACATACACTCTCTAACTACCTTAAAGAGAAAGAGGCTTGCTGGAGCGCCATGAGACTGCTCTAAGAAGTCTGAAACCACTCATAAGTGATCCCCTTTGTAAATTCCTACAAAGTAATAAAACGGCTGGGCAAAAAAAATGGCTACCGAATTATTTAAGTTGGTTTCCTCCGGAAGAGGGACTAGTAAGCTAAATTATTGTGCCATTTGAGTGGCGTTGTAGCACCGGTCTGTAAATTAAATGTGTGTATGTATGTAGATGCTCCGCTGTTCTCAGCCACATTCACTGTAACCTAACTAAAATATTTTATTGCATTTAGAAATGTCAAAGCAATAAACAAAAATTTAAAATATTTATTTTGAGAGAACGTACTATCTCACTGTCGTGGCGACGATAAATATATCTTATCAATAAATCACACAATTTTTGCTTTCAAGTACATTGACAAATTTATAAAAGCGAAGACATTCACATACAGTGGATCATACAATGGATAACCTTCTAAATAGAGGAGGTACTTATTATAGATATTAAATATTGATAAACCACAATGACAGGCATCTAGGCTTATTCATAATAACTAGGTTTTATTCATAATAACTAGGTTTTACAGTGCCTAGGCAATTTGTTAAAAATTTGCATTCGTCGGGATTAATGATTACAGAATAAGACTCTACTTAAACATTCCCTCAGTTCCTTAAGCACAGCATTTGTGTGTTAAAGATAAGCTTAGTATGCGATCATTTTCCTGTATCACTGTGAATGTATGTATATGTGTTTAATTGTTAAATTGCGCGCAAAACTTGTCACAGTTGAAATTTATTACTTGTGCATAAAGAGCAAGTGTAAATGTATGTAAGTCCTAGTCAGCATGTGTGTATGCTAGGGTGGTCCAAAAATGCATTTAAAGAAGTAAAGTCGAAATTTTTATGCTCTCACCTCCTAGGATTGTTCTTTACTTAAAAAAACCCCCTCTTTTTTGTTTTGAAATAAAAAAAAATTTAGCTCAAAGATTTCCATATTTTATATGAAAAAAACAACTCTTCTAGAAATGGTATAGAATTCTTGAAAATTAATATTTTTCGACCTGAAAACTCTGTTCTTCTTTAGGACCATTACCATTTCCACGGAAAGTTGTTTTTTCCCATATAAAATACATGGAAAATTCTGAGCGCTTTGAGCGACCTCTATATAGTTTTTTTATTTAAAAATAAAAACAGGGGTATACCTTCTTGTTATAGAACAATCCTAGAGGGTGAGAGCATTAAATTTCCGACTTACTTATTTTGGACCACCCTGGTGTATAATCGTATTTTCTGTTCCAAGTCTGTTGATAATATACAGCTGTGGAAGTGATACCTTGAGCATAAATATTCTCATTGCTAATAATAGAATAGCGCTTACACAATATGCTGGTGTTTGGCCGAGCTTTTCCTCCGATTTGTGGCGTGCACCTTCATAGTTTTCACCTATAATTTTATGCCGCCTCCGAACGGCGATTGTGGAATTGGAGGTTTGCCATTGCCTGCCGAGGGGCGAATCGTTTTTAGAAAAAAAAGTTTTCTTTTTATTTTGTTTTGAGGTTCCGGGCTCGAACCCAAGCCCTGCGGAATGGTAGCGAGCACTGCTAACCACTTTACCACATCGGTCGTCTTCTCCCTTTTCACGCACGCATTATGAACATGAAATTCCTGACGCGGCTCACCGCTAGAGTCAGTGGAATTCGGATGGAGGTGGGGATGGTTTTTATACGAATGGATACAAATTCAACGAAGAATAGGGGGCGGTGTGTATTCGGTGTAACATTCCGGTTGCACCTGCTGGATTACTGCAGCAACTTCCAGACTGAGTCATGAGTTTAAAGGTCGAATTACCGCTACAGTGTGGTATAATTTGATATGAAATGTACATCTTCACGGGCGGCCGGGCTGGCTATACAATTCTTTGAAAATCATGATTTACTTTGGAACGTATTTCCGACAATTCGGTTTTGGCCTTGTGCCGTCATGTCGTCTTTTTTCGTTCTGTTCGTTCATCATACTCAGTGGCGGATTTGAAATCTTGTTCGCCCTAGGCCCTATCCACTTTCTCAGCTCACATTATTTAGGTATGGCTTACTGCTAACACTTGTCGTTCTCTACCAGAGCTGGCAAAATTTTTGCACTTGCTTATGGAATTAGGTTTGGATTGCCTTTGATTTTTTTTCCGCATACATAAATACGTCAAAATGTATGTGTGAAATGACAATTGCTTCATTACCATTCACACCGCAGACCAATATTATTAAAGAATAGACAGACGGATCGGCTTGTTAATACGGAATTAACACGGGAATTAAATGCAGCTAGTCCTTAAAATTAATGAGGATCCGAGGAATTTCCTATGACAATACTAGCCAAAACGACCAGCTACTGTCTATTGTACAAGTAAGCAAACTAACTAAGGGCCACTTGAACCAGGGTTGTTGCGAATATTCGCATTCGCATTTGCAACCGCGGAGCTTCCGCATTAATTTTAACATTCACATTCGCAATAATCAATGTGGATCTTTTGCGAATGCGAGTATTGAAGGGACCGAAAATAACAGTTATTTTTTTAGGAGTTAAGCTTGGCCAAACCGCTTTTCCAAATTAAACAAGTTTGGTATCAAATGAAAGGGGACGTAAATAGCTTTAAAACTGAAATGTCTAAACGAGAAAAGCTGCCTATTGGAAAATATTTCAATAAAAAATGTCAGGTATATGAATTTCTTTAGCATTAAATTATAAAAAAAATACAAATATAATTCGTTCGTTATTTCTGTTTTAAAGAAACTTCAGTCCTCTTTCATACGATATCGAATTTGTTTAAATTGGATAAGCGCTTTGTTTATTATCCGAAAATGACTTTTATTTTATTTTTAGTGGGCCGAAGTTTGAACTGCACCCACTAAAAGCGTGAAACTATTAAAGCCCTTATTAAAGATGGGTAAACATTTAAAGAAAGGGAAAACAATTTTTGGATGTTCAGCCACCATGTATCGAAATACGTTAACGTTTTGGATAACCTAAATTTACCATGTAGTGTTCATACAGTAAGGAGACGGATCCGAGAATACAGCTTTATGCTAGAAGTCCACGTAAATTACCGCTTTTGAAAAAAAAATCATGTGATTCTCAGACTATATTTTGCCAAAAAGCACCTGGATTGGTCTATTCGGAAGTGGAGGAACATTTTATGGACGGATGAGTAAAAAATTGTTTTATACGGTGGTCAAGGCTCGGCAGTTCGTAAGAAGCCCCTCAAATATGGAATATCATTCACGGATATTATGGTATGGGGGTATTTTTTCATATCACGGTCTGAGGCCAATATATTGGATAAAAACAATCAAAGACCAGAATAAGTACGTAAAAATAATGAAGGATGTTAGACATCCATACACCAAAGAAGAAATGCCACTCAAATGGATACTACAGAAGGATAACTACCCGAAGCATACAAGTATGCTGGCAAAATTGTGGTTTCGGGACAACGGAATTGAGGTCATAGACGGACCAGCTCAATCTCCTGACCTCAATACTATAGAATACCTTTGGATTAACCTTAAGAAGGCCGCGTGGAATCTCAAACCAAAAAATAACCACGAACTATGGGCTGTGTGTGTGTCGATACTACAGGAAAGAGGTCAACACCTCGTAGACTCTATGTTCATCCTTGTGAAGCAGTGATT